AAACAACAGCTCCCCAAAAAAACCCAGGAAAAAATACAAAAAATGCAAAAAAACCCCCAAAAAACAAAACAAAAAACGTCCAAAAAGCCAAAAGCAAAATAAAAAAAAAAAAACAAAAACACAAAAACAAAACAGAAAAAACCCCCAAAAGCCCCCAAAAAACCAAACCAAAACAACCCCAAAGCAAAAACAACAACAAAAATCCCCACACAAAACACCCCCAAAACCACAAAAAACCCCCCAAAAACCAGAACAAAGAACCTCCAAAAAGCCAAAAGCAAAATAAAAAAAAAAACCAAAAAACTAAAAACCCCAAATACCCCCAAAACACAAAAAAATCGCCCTAAAAACAAACCAGAAAAAAATCCCAAAAAAAACCAAAAAAACCCCAAAAAAACAAAAAAAAACCACCCCAAAAAACAAAACAGAAAAAACCCCAAAAAAACAAAAATCCCCACACAAAACACCCCCAAAACAGAAAAAAACCCCAAAAAACAAAACAAAAAACCCCCAAAAAACAAAACAGAAAAACCCCAAAAAACAAAACAAACCTCCAAAAAGCCAAAAGCAAAATAAAAAAACCCTAAAAACTAAAAACCCCAAATACCCCCAAAAACACAAAAAATCGCCCCAAAAAACAAACCAGGAAAAACCCCAAACAAAAAAAAAACCACAAAAAAACCCCAAAAAACAAAACAGAAAAAAACCCCAAAACCCCCCAAAAAACCAAACCAAAAACAACAACAAAAATCTCCACACAAAACACCCCCAAAACCACAAAAAAAACCCAAAAAACAAAACAGAAAAACCCCAAAAACAAAACAACAAGCCTCCAAAAAGCCAAAAGCAAAATAAAAAAATATAAAAAAAAAAATTAAAAGCCCCAAAACACAAAAAATCCCCCCAAAAACAAACCAGAAAAAAATCCCAAAAAACCCCACCCCAAAACAACAAAAAACCTCAAAAAGCAAAACAGAAAAAAAACCCAAAACCCCCAAAAAACCAAACCAAAACCAACAAAAATCCCCACACAAAACACCCCCAAAACCACAAAAAAATCCCAAAAAACAAAACAGAAAAAAACCCCAAAACACCAAACCAAAACAACCCCAAAACAAAAATAACAAAAATCCCCACACAAATCACCCTCAAAAGCACCAAAAAAACCCCCAAAAAACAAAACAACAAGCCTCCAAAAAAGCCAAAAGCAAAATTTAAAAAAAAACCCAAAACACAAAAAATCCCCCCAAAAACAAACCAGAAAAAAAATCCCAAAAAACCCCACCCCAAAACCACAAAAAAACCCAAAAAACAAAACAGAAAAAAACCCAATAAAAATACAAAAATACAAAAAACCTCCACCAAAACAAAGTTTAAAAAATAAAGAAAAAAAGAGATAAAACCTTCAATCAGGTTTTAATAAGAATTTAAACACGAGTTTGAGGATGCAAAATTCACACAGTGGTTCCTAAACTGAGGAATTTCCATCCCTGATATTTCCAATATTTAATCAATATTATTTAAATCATTTCCCCACTTCCATCAGCACAACCCCAGCTGTAAAAAACAGGATTTAAAAA